GTGGGTGGGTGTGTGTGTGTGTGTGTGTTTAAAGCAACAGGGCCTTGCATTGCAGATTGTCTGTCTGGTTTGCTACAAAGACCTGAAGACCTGCCTTCACCTGGAGAGCAGCACTTGTTTTGGGGGTTCAAATGTTACAATCCTCATGGCCGGCTTTTTCTGCTGCTGCCTGCTGCTGCTGCTGCTGCTGCTGCTGCTGCTGCTGCTGCTGCTGCTGCTGCTGCTGCTGCTGCTGCTGCCGTTGATGCTACAGCTGCTGCTGCTGCTGCTGCTGCTGCTGCTGCTGCTGCTGCTGCTGCTGCTGCTGCTGCTACAGCTGCTGCTGCTACAGCTGCTGCTGCTACAGCTGCTGCTGCTGCTGCTGCTGCTGCTGCTGCTGCTGCTGCTGCTGCTGCTGCTGCTGCTGCTGCTGCTGCTGCTGCTGCCGTTGATGCTACAGCTGCTGCTGCTGCTGCTGCTGCTGCTGCTGCCGCTGCTGATTGTGGTGGTTTTCTTAAGTCTAGAAACGTGCGAACATTGTGGTTTGTTCTGACAGCTTTCTCTGGGGGTTGAGGCCTCAAGTTACTGGAAAGAGTCGTGCCAAACCCTTGGACTCCCCGAAGACGCAACTTTGGAGCGCAGTCCGCGCAGTTGTACAGGTGACTTGCCTGAGTCGCCCTGGGCAAACTTCAAGGGCTGTGACCGTGGATGCAGATGGTATCACAAAGCGAGCCAGCATGAATACATGACCGGGTGGTTTGACGCCGTGCAGGCAGTCCGTAAGGGAAGTAATTCACAAGATCATGTGTAACTAGGCGTTAAAAGTTATGGCTGGTTGATTGTTCGTTTTCCGCACCCCTTTTACGACACAGGCTGCACTGCCTTTCAAACTTTCTGAATTTTGCTGTATAGGAACCTACGCGGCAATACAAGACAGGACCCCCTATGAACGCCCAGGAAGTAGCAAGCTTGACAGGAAAGCACATTGTCCTCACTCCGGCCGTGTATTACCTGGATGAGCCAATCGCTCGAACCTCAGGTCTCAGAGGCAAGTTACTCTCTGCCCAAGTGCAATTCATGCTCACAAGCCACTTTTGCATAGATGCTTGCGGCAGGCCCACACAACTTACCAGAATCGGTACCTTTTTTTCGTTCTTCGCCATTTTTGGCCATATTCGTACTGGTGAGTGACTCATCATTGTGCTGGTTCACATGCTGATTTTTCTCTTTTGGACTTGAGGCTGTGCCCAGTGGCGAGTCTTCAGTGTTGTAGGCTGTTGTATTTGCTGGCATCACTTAACCCGTTATCCCATGCCCGCGCCTCCCATGTTCTGTGTTTTGTCCTTAGGACAGCAAACAAGGGCCCCTGCTTCTCCTCACTGTCAACTACCAACATTGGTGTTCTTGTGATGCCTCGCGGTTGTCATCAAAAAAGGGGTGATGGGTCCTTCCCCAGCCGAAAGGCAACTGACTTTGGTCATGTGTATTGTGCGGCGCCCGTAGGAGAGGCCAACACCTTGAACATGTTTAAACCACTATGTTGTTGGTTTCCCTGAAATATAACCTTGTTATTGTCAGCTCTCTTCCACTCTTTTACCTCGCTTGCATTGGAAGTCACGCTCTTTGGCCCTGAGGTGGTGAATCATCCCAACATCGTCATCCTGGGGCTGGGCGGCTTGCCAAACGACCGCTCAATGGGCATTCTTCGGGGTTGGCCTTCTTCAGAAGCGGACACCCGTGAAGGATCCCTTTGGGTGTTCTCTTAAGGGCAATCCTAGGTCATTCCCAAAAAGCTTTCTATTTTGTTCACTGAGAACTTGGCTTGCTAACGGAGATGCTACCCCAATTCGGGTACCTGCAAAGAAAAGACTCACATATAAACTGTACAAAAGGGAGTTTACATGTTACTCAAATGCAGGTTTTTGGGTACAACCCTTACGGACTTTTCTGGCTGAATGTACCTGCTATGGTTCCCCCAAGTGTCAGGACATGTTTCGGTTTTGGGGTCTGTCGACTGGGCGCAAGCATGTTTCAGATCAACTTTTTAAATGGCGTCAAAGATGTACTCAAAGGAGCGGATTCGAGCCATCAAGCAAAACCCGCTCGACCCATCCGGCCACAAAACATCGGGAGTTATTTCTGAAAGTCGCCTCGGTCAATTCCAGTCATCAGCTGCGCAACAAGGGTGAAAGCAGCTCTGGGTTTTTCGGTCTGTCTTTTTGTGTCTACTTAGCTCTTGTAGTGCAGTAATTAAAGCTGGCAAAGCGTAATGGCAGCCAAGCACTTGGGAGCTTCCCTTTGACCCCACACATCCTGTCTAAGGCAGTATGCTACGTGGGAGAATCATGTCCTTGATCTTCCAGGGCCCTGAAAAAGCAACCCTTTATTTGTGAAAGAAACCTCTCTGCTGATCCTCCATTTCTGAACCGAAGAGGAAAATCACCCAACTCCTCCAATTTGTTCAGGGTCCTGGGAAGGTGTGTTCTTTTTTTTTGCGCCGTTTGGGAACCAACGGTTGAGCAGCTGAGCCCCAGGTTTTGCCACCCTGGTGCCCAAGCAAGTGCCGGCCTTCGTCGGGCGGGGCGTCATCGAGGCAGGTCTCATCGCTGCACCGGATGGACAAGAACACAGCTCACAGCTCACGCCAAAGCAAAGCAGGGTGTGAAAATTTCGACCTAAATTGAGATTTCTGGGAGGATCCCAGGTCTGGGGCCAGGTTGGGAGGGAGAAGGGATCGGGACCTGCCATTGCGTGCCGGGAATGAGAGTGGTGGTCTTCAACTGGCAAACCCCCCCTCCCCCCGCCCTCCCCCCAGGAAAAAGAAAAAGAAAAGGTATCCTCCAGAAACGACACCCAAAATGGTGAGTGACAGCATGCTGTTGAGTGAACTCGCTGCGGGATGTGCCTGTGTTAGTGGCACCCGAAACCGCGGAGAACATGAATGGCATCGTGTGGCTCGTTTTCTCAGCCAAGGGTTCTCATGATCGTCATCGTTGGGGAGGATGTTTCTCGGTCCCAAAATTATCGTGCAGATGAGGGGAGGTCTTTTACCGCGGGGAGGGTATTTGCTCATCAGGGGGGTTCGTGGCGTCATTGCACCTGTCACACGCTTCCACAGGCCAGCACTATGTCCACGGCATCAAACTCTTTCCACGGACAGTTTAGCAGAGCGCTTGTGCAGCCAACTGGAAATCATGTCGGTATAGGCATTGGGCTGGAGCGAGTTTAGACCCAGATCCTGCCCACGGACTGGAATGGACATGGCACATTTTGTTGTAAAACAGGGGGGGCCAGCTCTGCTCACGACTGGTTTTCCGGATCGGAGTTGGTTCCACCTAGCACACGTCATTGGGGATGTTTGGACTCTGCGAAGTCTGATCTGAAGAAAACGCCGAAAGTTGCACCTGCGCGGATCTCAAGCTGTTCTGTTCCAGGTGAGTAAAAAGGCCTAGAAGTAATTGAAGCTTGTACCTCCTTTCCCGGGCTCTCCGGTTGGCCAGTTCCCTTTACCCGAGGCACGCTTTACCAATTGCTACCCTTTTGACGCCAATTTTATGAGCGCTGTGATGTAGGTCGTTGACTAGGGGGTTCCCGGTTGTGGCATATATATATATATATATAATGTACATGCAGATCATGTGACAAGGGTTTAGGCACCCTGTGCAAAGCGCACCCTTGTCGCTGGTTTTGGGCGCAGCCCAGGGAATGGAGTTGGGGCGGTGTTCATAATAGGGAAGCATCCGGCACCTTAGGGTTTTCAAATCGTAACCATTTGTTTTGAAACGGACGACCCATGAAGCATAGAGCCCATACTCTGAAGCTGGTTTGGAAGGTGTGGCATGTTTTGGAATCCCCTCTTGAAGCCAAAATGAAGCCAGCCAATGCTAGGGGTGGGCCCAAATTGGGTTCAACAGGTGCTGCCCCTGGTTGGGGGGCAGAGGGGGACCGAAGGATCGCGCTTCAGTTTCAGGTGGGACCTGTGGACGGGGTGCGCCTGGCTGCGGTCTTCGTGCCGCTCGCCAAAGGGGTTTTGTTGTTTCCTTTGAAGTGGTTGGGGGGATTGTGTTCACCGGCAGTTCTTGCTTTTGGGTCAGGTTGTTCTTTTTCTGTGGTTTGCCTGTTTGGGCGCGAGCTGTGTGGAAAGATGTTTGTGTTTGCCTTTGGGCCGACAGCATTCCTGCCAAGGGTTGCACCTGGGACTCCCTGCCGTTGGTTGGCGAGTTTTCTATTCAAGGTGAGCAACTCATGAAGCGAAGCGCCCCGCTACTGGGGTATCTTGAGAATCAACCAAGAGTGTCCCATGGTTCCGAAAGGGAATCGGTGACCCGACAATTGGGAGGATCGTGGTTGCTAAGGGTCAGAGCATATGCTCCAAAGCCTTCTACCCCAGCCGTGGGTCAAAAGGCAGCCAGGGCAGGCAGTGTCAGACACTCTCGTCGGGTGGACTGCAAAAGTGGCAGACTTGGAGGCTACCACGAGAATGGTTCACACCCATTTTCTAACAGGTGAAAATCGGATTCACTCTTCAAGCGACTTTACTAAACCAAAAACTGGACCTCCAAGAGGATGTCTCTCTTTCAGTTGGTGAGTTGAGTACAGATCCTTGATCCCACTTCTGAACTTGCCCTCTCCCCCAGAAGGCAACATTTCGCAGAAATCATGTCCCTGTGAGTTCCATCCTTCGTTTTGCTTAGCTTTCCAGAAATCGTGTTTAGAACCCATGGGTCTCGTTTTCGGGAACCACTGGGAAATGCTGTGACTGAGGCAGGCAGGCCCGCAGGCTTCGCCTGACTACTCTACAGCGGTGAAGGCACTGATCAGGCGCGAGCTCGCTCCAAGTTGTTGTGGCAAAACTGGCGGGCCCCTGTGACAACTGCTCAGCGGATTGCACCCTGAATGTCCCTTTCTGCTTGGGATTCCCACTAAACACAGAGTCAGCCTTCTACCAGCATTTGTTTTGAAGGCTTTTGAAACTGGGAAGCCTCTTTTTTGGGATGGTTTTGAAGCCGTTTGGGCTGCGTTGGAGTTTCGGTCGGAGTCAGTCTTGGGTTGTTGATTCAGGGTTGGTGTGAGGTTTGTTTCTGCCCCTCTTGCTCTGTGTGTGTGTGTGTGCGCAGAGTGGGCGCGTGCCTGCGTGCCTGCGTGTGTGCGTGCACGCTCTGTGTGTTTGTGTGTGTGTGTTGAAGTGTCCGGTGGTGTTTATTGAACCGTTTGTTACGTTCGTGTGTTGCTTGCTTGCTTGCTTGCTTGCTTGCTTGCTTGCTTGCTTGCTTGCTTGCTTGCTTGCTTGCTTGCTTGCTTGCTTGTTTGTTTGTTTGTTTGTTTGTTTGTTTGTTTGTTTGTTCAATGTTTTTAGGTGTTTTTGCTCGATTGCTTGCTTGCTTGCTTGCTTGCTTGCTTGCTTGCTTTCTTGCTTTCTTGCTTTCTTGCTTTCTTGCTTGCTTGCTTGCTTGCTTGCCTGCCCGCTGGCTTGCTTGCTGGCTTTCTTGTGTGCTTGGGTGCTTGGGTGGTTGGGTGGTTGGGTGGTTGGGTGGTTGGGTGGTTGGGTGGTTGGGTGGTTGGGTGGTTGGGTGGTTGGGTGGTTGGGTGGTTGGGTGGTTGGGTGGTTGGGTGGTTGGGTGGTTGGGTGGTTGGGTGGTTGTTGTTTTCTCTCCCTCCATTTAGTGGGCTGTTTGGTTATTTTGTTTGTGTTTACTTGTTTTTTGTTTGTTTGTTGGTTGTTTGTGTGTTGTTGTGCATTTCTTTTTTGTGTTGGTTGATTTTTTGATTGAATCGATGTATTCATTGACTGTTTGACTGGCTGATTGATTGATTGATTGATTGATTGATTGATTGATTGATTGATTGATTGATTGATTGATTGATTGATTGATTGCATGCATGCATGCATGCATGCATGCATGCATGCAATCAATCAATCACTGAATGATTGTTTTTTGTTTTTATTGGATTTGTGGTTTGATTGGTTTTATTGAGATATTTGTCTTAGTGTTTCAAGTGTGTGTTTTTCATCTGTTCATTGCTTCATGTAGTTGGTTCCTTATTTGATTGTTTTGACTGAATTATTAGTTGCTTGGTTGATTGATTGGATTTGTTTGGGCTGGACATAGATCTGATTAAATTAGGTTTATTCATTGAGTGACCGATTTATTGCTTGCTTGCTGGCTTGCCTGCCTGCCTTCCTGCCTGCTTGCTTGTTTGGTTGTGTGTCGTGCGTCTGTGTGTGTGGTTTCTATTTGTGCATGTTTTGTGTGTTTGTGTGTGTGTGTGAGCATGTGTGTGTGTGCGTGTGCGTATTTGTGTATGTGTGTATGTGTGTTTGAGCGCGTGTGCGTGTTTGTGTGTGTATGTATTTGTGTGGCTGTGTTAGTATGTTTGTGTTTGTTTGGTTGTGTGTATTTGTGTGTTCGTGTTTGTGTGCGTTTGTGAGGATATGTTTATATGGTCCACCCCCCCGGGGGCCCCCCCCCCCAGGCATGCCTTGCAGGAATCACAGTTTGTTTACAGTTGGTTTTTGTGAGATTTTGCACTTTGTGCCAAATGTTCTTTGAGTGATTGATGCAAAACAAGACCCAAGAAAACAAACAACAGGAACACGGAAAGCGTTTTCAGATGCAACTTGGTCAGTGTTGGAAACACTTAGTAATTGCATTGTGTTTGAATGAAAATGCAAACACACGCCTGTTTTGTTTTAAACATTTTTTGATGATTGCATCCTCAAAGCATGCACAGGCTCAGACAAATCAAGAAAGTCCAAACCTCAAAGCTCCGAAACCACAGGCTCAAAGATATGCAAAACCGAGATGCAATGGAGGTCCTGGCTTGACTGGTGTAGCTTTTTGCATTTTTTGCCTGTGCAGGTTTCAGAGCTTTGAGCTTTGGATTGGTTTGCATTTCTTGAGCCTTTGCAGGTTTTGGAGCTTTGAGGTTTGCTGTTTCTGCATTTTTCAGCCTGTGTGTGTGTGTGTGTTTGTGTTTGTGTATTTGTATATATATATATATATACATGCTTATATGTGTTTTCGTGTTTGTGTGTGTTTTCTTATATGTGTGTGTGTATGTTTATGTGTGTGTGTATTGTGTGTGTGTTGTGTGTGTGAGTGAGGTTGTAAAAGGGATGGCGCACTCGGCCGTCTCGTTCCAAGTCCGCAGGTGGGGCGATGCCAAGACGCCATACGTGGGTTCCAGGTCCAATCCCGGCTGCTTCGGAGGAAAAGGGGACGAGGCTTCAGTGGCTTTGGTGTTCTATCCCAGCTGCCAGTGGCGCCCGTTTTTCCTTTTTATTGGGAAGGGCGTCACTTTAAAGTCAGCCAACCAAAAAAGGATGCCCTAGTTTTTCCCGTGGCCACTGGGCATCTGAGATATTGCGTAGACCTTGCGGAGAGCTTTCGCCCAGAATCCCGGGCGGGACCTGCTTGGCGAGGCAGGAACTTTGGCTTTAGTCTTTGGGAAGCCCTCTTTGTTGTATCACAGAAGTGGTCATCTCCCACAACCCTGATAAGCAACGATGGACAAGTTGTTGATGCTTCCAGACCTGACATTTGGCCTCGAAAATTGATGCTCACCTCCAAACCCAAACGTCCATGTGGTCTCAAAAGTTGGCACAGGACGATTCGGTTGTTTGACTCATCTAATGTCATGGGGTCTTTCCAGTCAAGCGTGCTGCTTTTGCCGCCCGGCTGTAGGAGCCATGTCAGAGAGTGCATCCGAAGCCCCTTTTGGTTGAAAGTTCCGTTGGATTGCTCTTATGTGGAATCCATCTTTCAGAGGGGTCCCGGCTGTCAAAGGGTAAGATCTGCATGTCCAGTCATCAACCAGATATTACACTCTCTGGAATTAGACAGGAAGTCCCTACTCTCAGAGGTCGCTCAAACATGGAAGCCCCTAAGAAGTTTTTTTTTTTTTTTTCTGCGGACATGCCTGGCATGTCTTTTTTTTGTACTGGAACTTGCGACTTTCTCCTATCATAGAAGTCAGCTAGGGTGCCCAGGGTAAGGTATGACTGGTCAAATGTACAGAGCTTGTGAAGCGTGGAGGTCATTCTTGAGGCGGTGACATGTTGTGCCACCATCTCCGGGTGCTCCCACAGCGTGCGTAATTTGACCTCCAACATGTTTGACGGGCAAAGCGAGCCGAGGCTTTATGTATGACGTCATTGCGCGTGTCGGAGGGCCTGACAACTCCTCAGTAGGCGCGCACCGCGAAGTCTGGCTGTTCAAGAGTGGAGAAGCAAACCTCTGGAATGCATTGGCTTGGACCAGCCTCTGATTGGGAACAGGCATTGAATTTGAATAGTCTTTGGCTGGCTTGATTGCATTGGCCAGTTAGGGTAAGAATGAGTGCCTTTCACTCACGCTGACTTTCCCGTGTTCGTCAGATTCTTTCGCTCTGTCATCAAAGACCACCAACAAGCCCGTTCCATTTGAAGATGTTTCCATGCGGGAACTTGGTATCCTCTTTAAGTGGAAGTGGACAAGGTTCCCCAAAGGAAAGTCATCATAGGAGGGTATCTTCTCCCAAAGAGAAACATGAGGAACATGTGGACCTTAGGGGCTCATGGCAGACCAGCGAGAAACCATCCTCTTAGTTTCTATTCGGGGGTTCCAGCCAAGGCCATGTAGTTCCTTTATTTGGGGGGCCAATTCTTGCTTCAGGTTTTGGAAGTATTATGACATGCACCATTGTTGTGATCCGTGCGAAAGATAGTGCTTCTTCCGTCAGCGTGAGCCAACGGATGCTTCGACTTTGGTGCATGTTGCTTGGATGTTAGGACTTTGACTTTTCGCCAACGACTGGGTTTTCCATTCACTAAAATTTAAGCTTCTAGTAGGGGAGCTGAAAGCAACCGAGTTGAGTTGAGGTTGCAGTTTGAACATTGATGCTCTCTAGCAAGACCTTAGACAAGAGTGGAAGTTTGTCCAGTGGAATTGGTCCAAACAGTTGAGTGCCAACACAGATGTTGGTGCATGGGTGCTTTTAGAATACAGTTGCAACTTGTTCCGCATTGCATGCATTGCTTGTCCTAGAGGCATGAGGGATTGTTTGGGCGTGGCTTTCTGAGAATAAAAGGCAGTTCTTGGATGTTGTCAAAGGCAACCAAAGGAACACCAACTGGGGAGTCCGTATTTTGAACGCTCAGCACAGGCGTGGACACCATGCTGGAAGTGAACAACGGCTGGGTGATAACCGATAACACCTGGCTATGGAAAGCAGATCATTGCAGCTTCAGCTCAGGCGCGATGGGAGAATGGGAATGAGTCCAAGAAAGAACATATGGGTTACAGCTGGGGCAAGTAGATGAAACAATTCCCCCGTTTTGGTTTAGTCATCCCCACTACATCTCCCACATAAATGAAAGTATGCCATCCACTTTGGCCCTGCCCTGGAAGGATTTTTGGCTTCGAGATTGAGGGGGGTAGCTCTGCCAGTGCAGAATGAACTCTTTAGTGGGAATAAAAAGACAGACACTTTGGAGTTGCACGCAGGCGGCAACAACGAGACCTCCGAATACTAATGTTAGTATTGCCAGTACTAGTAAAAACTATTGCCAATAGTAGATTTAGTGTTGCCAGGACTAAATTTACTATTGCCAGTACTTGACTTAGTAGGCCAGTTCCAACTTTAGTATTGCCAGTACAAATTTTAGTATTGTCGATACTAGATTAGTATTGCCAGTACTAAGCCTAGTATCGCCAGTCCGACCAAACTGAAAATGGTGACACTAAGATGGCACACTCGGGGTTCGCGTGACACTAAGATGGTGACACTAAGATGGCGTCATATGCCATCGGGCTCCAGTGTGCCATCCTAGTGTGACTCCCTGTAGCCGAACTTATGAAATGTCGGTCATGTCGCTTGTGTTGTTTCCGGCATAGTTTCAGCTGATCAGCAAAGGGTAGGCTTGCTCGGGAGGTGCCACGCGCGGTCCAGAAGGTGGCAACATAGACTCTACATGTCCATCATACGACGGGATGTTCTACGGTTTCTACATCGTTGTACCGTTGCCGAGTCTCAGCTTCTCTATCGTTGTAGCTGGGTTAAAGCTGGTGTGGTGCATCGTGTGCTATGAGGTGGGAAGCTGAGTTGCCAGTGGCATTCAGACGCTCTGACTTGCCGATGTTGAAGAGAAGTTGGCGTTTTCGCGTGCTTGTTCGGAGCCGATGGTAGGTGCGCTTTGTATTCCTCAACGCTATGTGAACCACTGCCTTGTGGTGAACGGGGAGAATGTGACTCGGATTCTTACATTTGTCAGGCTGGGATTTTAAACAACTGTCCTAAGGGTTCAAACTAAGAGAACCTTGACCACGATCCATCCCAGCTCACTTGTTTGTACGTGTGTAGCATTCAGCATCCACCGTCGCTTGCTGTGGCAGCGGGGACGATATGCTGTCGGCTCACGTCTGAGCGTTAGACAATGGGGTTGGCCGAGTTTGTGTGAAGCAAGAAGAATTGCACTGATCAAGTGGGCGCTCCGTCTCGGCTGAGTTTCAAGCTCGCTACCGACCCATTTCGGCCGGTGATGTCCTCTCCGGCCTTTGCGAAGCACCGGAACATGGAACCCAGGCGGTCCCATTCAAACCAAAATGGACCCTTGTGAGACTCCATGTGCGTGAGAGGGTACGTGGCTTGTCCTTCTTTCGGAACCGAAAGGCAGGCCCTTTGGATTGAGTGGCACTTCACCCATGGCCTGGGACCCTATCGTTCCTGAGGTTCACATGTACGGCCTCATGGCGGAGCACGCCAACGAGGATATTGTGGTGTGGAACGGCGAGCATGGATGCCCGGTCGCAAAACAAAACGAAAAACGCAGGCGACTGATGGAGGAACCATCCAGCACTTTGGATCCGATTTCTGTTCGACATTTTAGCAGGCGGTTCTACTGCCTGGTTTCAGGTGGGTTATAGTATGGCCTGCACAACCCTGCATGTAGAACTATTTTAGCAGAAGCAAAAGTCGACGGGTTTGCCGGTCACTTCACAGCCCTGCTTCAGAGAGGTTCATGGTTTCTCGCAACATGTTTTCTCTCCATGGGAGGAGCTCAGAGGTTCAACCTCTAAGCAAGATTCTGCTGGCAGCGTGGGGTTTTGTGGTATGAGGAGTCTTAAAATATGGCCACGGGTCAAAATCCCGTACCCTCAGTGAACATCCCAATCCCCACTAAAATAGGTTCTAAAATGGGTGGTGCACCCACCCCAAAACGGATCCCATTGGTTTTGACCCACAGTGCTTGATCGATCATACAACCGGGAGGCGGGGCCCCACTTTATGTGTAAGCAACGAGCGTGAACGAGTTGAAGGTCACAGAATAACAACACAAGAATCAGTTTCGGGGTCTTTGAGCGGTTCAAGACAGACTGAATCGTTGGTCAACGACCTGAGCCAGGGCCGTGGTTGTCCTTGCTAGAAAACACGTGTGACCATTTTGATCGGGGCCACCAAAAAAGGGGGAACGAGAAGGGTGCCACCGAACAACCGCATACAACCGCCATGTCTGCTCCTGGGTGGAGAACGCAACTTGTCTCAAGTCAACACCGCTGGAGCAAGGAAAGACGTACTTCTTCCAGAGTGAGATGAAGTATACTCTGGGTCCGCTGAGTGACCCATCGGGCTGGCAGCGCGTGACGCACGCTGCAGCCTGGTTGCAAATGGCCATGGGATTGTTGAGTGAACATCACGGAGCCATTGTTTCCGCAGCTTGGTTCGTAATAGAGCGTCACGCGTGATGCATGAGCAGTTCTTCCCAAGGGAGCCCGCAAGTTCAGTTTGGCACAATATGTTGCTTTACCCAACTTTTGTCGAGGTCCACGATGTCGAATATGTTGAGAGTGCTGAATGGTGTTGTGAAATACATTCACAAACAGACACATAATATCATACATGTGTATGTACAGACACACACACACACCACACAAGCACGCACGCACGCACGCACGCACGCACGCACGCACGCACGCACGCACGCACGCACGCACGCACGCACGCACGCACGCACGCACGCACGCACGCACGCACGCACGCACGCACGCACGCACGCACGCACGCACGCACGCACGCACGCACGCACGCACGCACGCACGCACGCACGCACGCACGCACGCACGCACGCACGCACGCACGCACGCACGCACGCACGCACGCACGCACGCACGCACGCACGCACGCACGCACGCACGCACGCACGCACGCACGCACGCACGCACGCACGCACGCACACGCACACACACGCACACACACACACACACACACACACACACACACACACACACACACACACACACACACACACACACACACACACACACACACACACACACACACACGCACCCACACACCCACACACACACACACACACACACAAGCAGTGGTGTGCCCATGACCATCCATGGCTGAACAGTCCGCACATTGCGTTCGTTGTACCTCTGCTTGCCTTTCAGGAGTTCATAAGCGTACAGTCCCTCCAGTTGAGACTAGGCAAGCATTGAACTCGCAGCGCTCACGAGTCAGCACCCAATTATTGTCTACCACAACCACCGCCGACCGCAAGCAGTGCGACGGGATAAGGGCAACGAAGAAGCAATGAGTTCAACCAAGTATAAGCACACACACACACACATTGGACATATAGCTAGAAGCACACCTACAAGTTCATCACCCACAGCAGCAATCATGTTTGACATGGCAAAGCCAGCAAGCCCAAACCTGAGTTGCACAACAGCCTGTCACGACATAGGTCAGCTACCGTGTGAATGCGGTGAATCATATCGCCGTGGGCGTGGGCATCTACGTAGCCTGGCTGCAAAGCTCGGCACAATGTCGAATGAGTTTGCATTTAGGGCGCGAGAGTTGGGGTTATGTCTTGAATGGCAATATCTCCAACCCAACACACTTCATCCCGCAAGCTCAGACCCTTTATTTGAAGCAGAAAGGATTTATCACCCAGCTTGGGCATGTTGGATTTTTGACTGGACCTCCCGTGCATCCAGTGTGTGGTCCTGGCGGAAGATGTGGACGATGATACCATGCCCATGGCGAACGTAGCTGAGCCAGGCGTGGCTTTTGCTCACTCCCTGAGTTCCGGGGACGTGAGTCACTGGGAGCAATCCACTCGTTTTTTCTACCCCACGACCAGTTTTTCACTCTGGGTGTCGGGGTGCAAAAACGCAGGCTGGGAGGTCGAAAAACATGTCCACCATTTGTTGAGACTTGTGCATCACCTGTGCTATGCGCATGTTGGGATGGTTTTGGTGCGCTATGTACATGCCAGTTGACTTGCCATCCTTTCATTCAATCCATTTTGCGAGCTTCATGTTTCAACTGCACGCCCTACACGTCCTCCGGCAGTCCCTCCTTGCTTCTGCAACAGACGATAACTAGAAGTGTCGCTCCCCATGAGTGCAGTTCCCTGTATAGCAGGCAACCAATGGAACCACCCTATTACATTGAACTCGGATCCACTGGGGCTCTGTCACCTAATTTGCGCATTTCTGCGTGTGTGCCGAAATCCGACCTTTTGACCGTTTGGCTTGCGCATCTTGACCTCGTAGTCCCTGAACACCTGACCTCTACCCCCAGATCCTCGCAAATCAGCGCGTTGGCGTCGGCTTTTTGGTTTGGAACCGGCAGGTGGCATGAGCGCCATCGCCGTCCGGAACGCGGACGCGTACCTCTGGGGCTTCAAGGACGTCGCCGCGCTAAATTGGCACCTGGACAGAGAAAAAACCGACGGGTGTCTCACGAAATTGGCGGGATTGAATGGAAACGAACCCAGTGGTCCAGTGGGTTGCTTCGTTTTTTCCATATATTTTGAGAGGGGTTCCGCAAAAGCTCAACCAACCAAAAAAGGATGGTGGTGGTTGTCCTGTTGGTTTCCTTTTTCCAGCCACAAAATGCGATCGACAGAGTTCCCCGCCTCCCCTTTTCGTGGTTTTGAACATCTGCTTGTGGTTGCGGGTACCTATCTTCTTGAATATGCTCCAAGGAAGCCTGGAAACTTGCCAACTGATGTTGATCTGTGTTGCCAGGCAGCCCTCATTTCAGGTGCTTCAGTTGCCACTAGGTACACCTACGTAGGTATCCAACTTCAAGTGAGAATCCCCTGGCTAGGGATGATGTTTACCTGGATACAGAAGGAAACATTTTTTGCTTAGGCTCCAGCAATTGGAGGCAAACCCATGCTTTCCTTGGCCACTCAAAATGATTGTTTTTTGCAAGCAAGTGCAAACATATGCTAAGGAAAAACAACCGGAACCATGACTTGTTTGGTGCCAACCATGGGCAAAGGCTACTCTTCTGAAAACTCACATGAAACAAGCCTTGAGCTCCATGTTGCCAGTGAGCATATACCCCCCTCAGAGTTCCGATGCTGGAAGTTTGGTGGGTAGATGTTTGGCCGATTTCCGAGGCATGATTCCTTTTTCCCTTCTCGTTTGGCAGCTTTCGCATGAACAAGTGGTCCTTTGTTAGGGCCACTAGTCACGCCCACAGCGAGATCCATTGGGACCAAAGAATTGCCCCTTCCATGTGAAGTAGCAGGGTGCCTCCAGCTTCCCAGGAACATGCAGTGGCCTCTGGAATCCCGGTTGACCTGCAAGGCGCTTAAAAAGCTTTGCCGGAAGCCTGCGCCTTTTCTTGTGGGTAGGGAGGCCAAAAGGAAACCGAAGGTGCCCCCTGCTCGTGTTCTTGGGCATGCGTCGAGGAAGTAATAGGCTCCTAGGGCCAAAAGAGGTTATTCGGGGTGCAACCGATTAGCTTTCAGACCCGATAATAGCTGATGGTGGGGCTGGAAATCTGTGGACTTTCGCGGAAGCCTTGTGGAAGGTTCGCGGACGGTCAGTGTTTGCAGATGGTGTCCCCAACAGCAGCCACTGGAACCCTTCGGCTACACAACTCCGAAACCAATCAAAACCCTTTGCCACAATTCCAAACCAATCGAAACCCGATCCTACAGTCCGACTTGCGGCGCAATTCGTGTTCCTTCCTCAAGGGAGCGAGGTACAACAGGGATCCCTAGCTAGGAGCCTGCGGCCTCCCAAATCTTACTTCTAGCTACTGTTGGTTTGGATATTGAACTTTAACCTTTTTGGACAAATGTGCGTTTCTTCGCTTTGGACTGCTTTCTCTAACATGAGGTGCCTCCTAAAATTGCACAAATTCTTTGCTTGTCAAAGGGAAGCAACGCCTTAAAATTGAGAGCCCCAGATGTTCCTGTTGGCTTTCTCAGGCATCCGTGCGAGAAACGGGTTGAACCCTTCTTCGTTGACACGAAGATTGTAAGAGACTTAGAGGATCCAGGGTTCTGTTTAGGTTGGCCGCTCATGTTTGTCCTGAGACCCCAAAAAACCACGTAGTTTGCATCTGGTTCGCGAAACCTGCATTTTGTTTTTGTCCGCCAGGCATGGTGCGATGCCACCAGCCAGTGTTTGGATACTGGGGTGTCCCCGCCGAGATAGACCCAGAGCCCATCGCGGCCTGTGGGGTGTTATATAGGCCCTATGTGAGCCATGCATGGTCAAAGATCCTTTCTGTGTTCTTGGTAGGAATGGTCATGGACCTTTATGAGGGGATTTGGACAACTGTCACAAGGAATATTGACCATGCTACATCTTGACTGCCTGTGTGAACTTTTAACTGGCAAGAAATTCTGAACCGAGCAGCATCGAGGCAAGCAGATTTCCAAATGGAAATCACGATGTTTTTGCCCGAGAAGCTGCCAAAAGCGCTTCCGATTCCTACGGCGGATTCGGGCCACAATTTGTTGTGTTGAACATGGAAATGGGAACAAACATCCTCAATTGAAAATACAAATATTAAAATATAGAAAACAAATATATCCATCTAAACATATTGAGCAGAATTTCCATACCTGTGCGAGTGTTTAGCAAAATCTTTGCGAAGAATATTTCAATGTGTGGTTTAATTTTATGTTTTGTCGGAAATTTATAATTTATTGGTTTATACAATATATATATATGATTTTTAATAATGAATATATAGAATTATTATTTGAGAATAAATATATTAATATATATTTTATATTTGATAAAATTAATTTTAAAATAAAATACCCATAAAAATCTATTGATATTTAATTGTTAAAAACATATTAAAATATATATTGATTTATTTAAATTTGTTTAGAATTATATAATTAAATTGAATAATTATTTTTAAATTATTTATTTATTTGAAGTATTGAAAAATTGATTATGAATTATAATAATAATTTTATATTTATTGAAAGAATAATTGTAATGTTTGGCATAGGTTTATTGAAATTATATATAATAAATTAATAGGATATATTAATATACATATTATATTTATTTGCTAAATATATTAATATATTATTTTTTTGAATTTAATTTTAATATTAATAATAGGAAATATATTTTAAACCACAATATATAAGAATTTAAATTTATTGGACCCGGATGGTGTTTAATTAGTTTTAAGAAATGAAATGGATATATTAAATATATATATTAGCAATTTCTTTCCGATTATTGGTTAAGGAAAAAAAAAAAAAATAATATATGTTTTTAATAAACATATTATAATAAAAAAAAAGAATGATTATTTATTATTATATTTATGAAATTATATTATTTATTAAAGGAGGTAATAAATAAGGATTGGTAGATTATATTATATTATTTATATATTTGCTCGTGTTTATTCTGATTCCCTATATTATCTATATATTTATACTAATACATTAGATTAATAATCGCTTATATGATATCTTATAATATCTGTATATCGAGGATATATATCGAATTATTTTCATTTCCTTTTTTGGGTTTGCGAAATATTTAAAGAAAAGAATGAATATTAATTTTCTTAAATATTCGGAGAAAAAATCAATAATATTCATTTTATTTAAAAATTAATTATATATTTATAAATTATAATTCTTATTTTATTATAATTTCTTCATTTTCATGTTATATTAATTTAATTATTTATAATTAATTATAATTCAATTAAACAACCCAATCAATATTTATATATTTATATAATTTTAAATTATAATATAAAAATCATTATTATATATATAAACTACAATCAATTAATTCAATTTTATTTCATAATTATAATAATTAATTATAATTATAATAAAATATACATTTATAATTCAATAATATATATATCATGTGTAGTATTATTCAATATATTATATCAATTAATATAATATATATATAAATATAATTACTAATATAAAATTATATTTATTAATTTAAAATAATATTTAAATTATAAACTCATAATATATTAGTTCCCAATTAATTTATATTAATTAAATTTTTGAATATCTCAAATTTAATAAATCTAATTAAAATGATTATTGATTATATTTATTCTTATATTATATATTCAATTCTCAAAATATAAATTGAAATTCCCTAAAATTATAAATAATCTTATTCCAAATCCATATTTTTATAATTTATATAATATATATCAATAATGTATCAAATATCAAATTTAAATAATTATATAATATTATATTCAATAACATAATAAATTCATTAAATTAATAATTATTAATTATTATCTTCAAGGTCGATTATATATAAAAATCAATTATTTATTTTTTTTTATTTTTTTTATTTTTTTTATTTTTTTCATTATATATATAATAATAAATATATCCAATTCTTAAAATAAATATAGAATCCCAAAAAATATATATTATATATTTCTAGCATAAATATTTAAATCTAAAATAACTAAATAAAAATACAAATGATATATATAATTATTTTAAATCAACACGCTCAACAATCATAAATCATATCTCTTTAAATTAAATTTCGATGATTAATTAAACAATAATTATTCTTTTCCAATCTTATTTTTAAACCGAACCTACCATCATATACAAGCAACCAAACTCAATCAATCTCCCAAAACCATTCCAATAACAATAATCAATATATTTCTCAAAAACAAAAACACATTCAAATAAATACACATAAAAAACCCTTATCCGTTCCTTTACCTTAAATTTCATAAACATCGTAAATTAAAATAATAACAAAAATAGAAAGAAAAATATAAACACATTTATACCACCTATTTCGTCCATGCCCAATCAAACCAAATCTTAATTACTAAATACCATCCAAATTCAATATCCAAACGAAAACCAAACACCTAAGCCAAAAATTGCAACGAAAAATTAAACAAAATATAATAATTATTAATCCTCTATTTAAAGATAATTATGTATTAATAAAACAATAAAATTCTAAAACATTCTTTATTTTATATTAATTAATCCTTTCGTTAATATATTCCAACCTCTACTTAATGTAATAGATTAACTCAACAATATACAAAATTTGTTCCATCATTAATCATCTTGAAAATTACCTATTAATTTCATTAATATCTATTCCTTTTCCCAATTATTTGTTAAATAAAACAAATATTAAAAAAATAATATCTTTACCTAATAATATAATCCAAAAAAAATAATATCCCAACAATAATTCATTGTTTAATAACAATTCGATATTTAATAAACAATTCAATAATTCAAAATATATTTCTTATCGATATATTCTAAAAAAACAAAAACCATAAATAATGTGTCTAAATATTCATAAAATAATAATAAAAAGAAAAAAACATATATCCTATTTAATTGTTATTCGATTAAAAAAAAAAAAAAAAAAAAAACTATTTCCTTTCAATAAATTAAATAAATATCATAAACATCGGACAAGTAAAACAATATTCCCTTCATTTGTTTTTCTCAATTATACGTATTCGCCGGATCAGCATCCAATTCACAAAGCTTATTCAGCCTCAAAGCACCAAGCCACCATCCGTTGGTGATTTGCTAATAGGAAAGCACATATGTATATAACACAATCCCTATACCAATAAAACCTACCTACTACCTAGCATAGCTTTTAAATTCATCAAGATAATAGCCAGCTGATGCTTAATCCCTTTAATCCCATCGTACCAACATCCATTTGTGCGGTTTAGCTTCTGCCCAAATAGGCTAATGTCCAACCCTCAAACCGTCAACAAAAAACCACTTAGACATTAATTTCAGAAAAAAACAACCTAGTACAGTCCCCACTAACATAATGTACACCAAAGGGTTCCTCCGCTCTCAATTCATAGGCACTAGCTTGCCCTCGGATCACACGAGCACGTTACTCCATGTACAATTGCAACTCATTCAATGTGGTTTCAGCCAAAGATCTACATGTTCCTTTAATTGCTTCGTGATGGGTGAACCATGACTACAGGGTCACAAATACTCGGCTTGCCTTGGTATAATTAATAAATCACAACTATGGAAAGCGTGCCATGATTACTCTTGATAGGTGATCAATTAACTGGCAAAAACCGCTGAGCAAGCCCTGGCATCTAGGTGAATCATAATCAATCACCACCCTGGCATAAGGGCTCAAAGGAAACCATGAGTTTCGGGAAGCATGTGCAGCACGGTCCAAATTGCTGGTTTCCTCAAGACGGCACGGGAATGTTAGTGAGTCCCCTGTTTTGTGGCAACACTCAATATGTGACTTCCGCCACGTCCCTCCCGAAGAGGACATTTAGACAAAACCTCATGGGTATGTGTCAAAAATAAGGTGGCACCATTGTATGTTTAAGAGGGAACTGCGAAAACAGGCCCAGCTTGACACAATCAGATTTTGCCTCTGGGCACCTGGGTTAAGCCCCGCTTGCGGGAACTGGTGGCAGCTGACCATCCTACAAAACCGAACCATAGGTGTCGAAGCACCCCTCTTTTGGGACTTTTCAACCACAAAAAGCAGGCGCCCCGTACGACATTTACAGCAATGCTCAAGCCACCAGCTCAGCATCCTTGGATCTGAGGGTTGCAAATTGTAATTGTTTGGGCCCCTTGTTGGCTGAAAGAAGGGCTCAGAAAACGGATTCAAGCTTTATGTGTGTGTGTTTGCTTTCCGGTCAAAGTGTTGAGAGACCCCTATTTAGGCCCTATTTTGACACATGCCCCACACGTCCCATTCACTGTGTAAAGCCGTTTCGGTCAAGTGCACGTGGCTGCATGCCCCCTCTTTTGGATGGGCGTTGCAACTCCAATTTGGGACTTGCCAAAATGCCCACTTAGAAAGACCCGTCCAAATCAGGCAGAGGTGGTTCCACATTCTGGGAACAGATTCAAGCATGTGCTCTGGCTGAACATCTCATCTAGTCGAGAAAACAGGGCTGAGTTGGATAGCAATGAAAAGTGTTGACCCGTTAAATTGGAATCCAACTCCCAGGACACAGGACACCATGCGACTGGAGTCCCCAATTTCCGTATGTGCCCGTTTGTCGTGAGTCGGGCAAACGTAATCCAATCTTAGCTGTCCAACGCAGCCAAGTACCAAGTACCACAAATACGCCTGCAAAGGATGACAAAATACCCCCTCTCACAAAGGGCAACGCCAACTCCAACGCGCTGCTCAAAATGCTGGGTTCCAATCCTAAATGCCTCATTTCCATTATGAAACCACGGGCCAAATCCACCAACCCAAGGGTAGGATCGTGCGGATTGCTTTTGTACAGTCCAAACAGAAACAAAACCAACACAAGATTCCAAGGAACACTTCCCAGTCTTTTCGGGGATCCTTCTTTCCACCAAACCCGGAAAAAACAGCTGGCTTTTGAAAGGATGGTTGCAAGATTGGAAATGAAATCCACCCATAGAAAGAAAGATGGGTCCGAAGATTTTCTGGGCAGACGCCAAATCTTCCGCCTCCTTCGTCTCAATGGACGCAGCCATGCAAAACCTCGTGCGTCTCACAACCACCCCCCGCAAAAAAAATGTCTGCTGCATCCTTGACAACCAACAAAAAGGAAGAAACCAGCTGTTTTCAAAGCCGAAGGAAAGCCGCCCTGCTGCTGAGCTTATTAGGATAATACTTGGGGTTGGACCTTTCAATAGCCGGCACCACGTCTGACTTTCTGAATTGTGCCCAAGCCACATCCAATGAACCGCCAATTCAGGACCCTCTAAGGACTCTAGAATTATGTTCCCTGCTTTCTGGTTTGCGCCGCATGCGTAAGACTGCCTTTCTGTTTGCATGTTTGTGCATGCGTGTGTTCGTGTCATTTTCTGTTGGTTGCTGGGGTGCATTCATCGGCTCTGGACGCCAAATCGGCGCAACTCGACAAGGCATACCGCATCAGAGATGGCTGCGGGGCCGCTTGCAGTGTTACAGAGTGGCAACCACACCCTCAGCACCATACCTTGCTAGCACAAACAAATTGCATCCCTTTAGTATCGACGCCTCCGTTTACAGCGGAACCAATATACCTTGGCGCATCCCCATATGGCAATTGACATGGTGATGGACAATCCACAACACAATGGTAACGGCTTTACCAAGAATATCATCATCTTATATTGCCTGGCACTATAATAGTTCTAATACTAATCGTTTTCTGTACGTATCGATATTCCGGCCCCATGAGCCGCGCCGGGAGGTCACACTCACCCGAAAAATGAAACCAGTTGCTGTTGAGACTGGCATGCAGACCGGGCACCCGGGCTTTGCGTCAAAACAATGGTCTGGTGCAAAACAAAGACAATCAAGGATCTGAGTACAGTGCTTTGCTGCAACTGCTTGGCGATTTTGTCTGCTGTGACTGCACGCAGCTGCCACGGCACCTCGTGGAACTATTGGAGCTGTACATCAACAAAGGCATTGGCCAAAACAAGCAAACTTCAGGCTAGCAAGTCAACGGTGTCGAGCTTGGTGGGCCCACAGTCTGATCTGGAAGGCTTCTCGTACCATTGCACCCGGAAGCAAAGTAGTTGGCGCAGCCCAAGAACTTTGACCCATCGCTTCTGTTGGCGCGCTCCACCATGCCACCACCACACTTGGGGCAAGAAGGGCTTGCTGCCGCTGGGGACGGCTGCTGAAACGATGTCGAGCTTGGTGGGCCCACAGTCTGATCTGGAAGGCTTCTCGTACCATTGCACCCGGAAGCAAAGTAGTTGGCGCAGCCCAAGAACTTTGACCCATCGCTTCTGTTGGCGCGCTCCACCATGCCACCACCACACTTGGGGCAAGAAGGGCTTGCTGCCGCTGGGGACGGCTGCTGAAACGATGTCGAGCTTGGTGGGCCCACAGTCTGATCTGGAAGGCTTCTCGTACCATTGCACCCGGAAGCAAAGTAGTTGGCGCAGCCCAAGAACTTTGACCCATCGCTTCTGTTGGCGCGCTCCACCATGCCACCACCACACTTGGGGCAAGAAGGGCTTGCTGCCGCTGGGGACGGCTGCTGAAACGATGTCAAGCTTGGTGGGCCCACAGTCTGATCTGGAAGGCTTCTCGTACCATTGCACCCGGAAGCAAAGTAGTTGGCGCAGCCCAAGAACTTTGACCCATCGCTTCTGTTGGCGCGCTCCACCATGCCACCACCACACTTGGGGCAAGAAGGGCTTGCTGCCGCTGGGGACGGCTGCTGAAACGATGTCGAGCTTGGTGGGCCCACAGTCTGATCTGGAAGGCTTCTCGTACCATTGCACCCGGAAGCAAAGTAGTTGGCGCAGCCCAAGAACTTTGACCCATCGCTTCTGTTGGCGCGCTCCACCATGCCACCACCACACTTGGGGCAAGAAGGACGTTGCTGGCTTGCACCTGTGCCTAGTTGTGAGTCATGTTCTGTAGCCTTTGGACTCTCATTGTTCAAGACTTGCACCTCAACCTCTTTCCCTTCAAATCGTGGATCAAATCTCTGCAAGAAGTATGGCAGCGCAGGCTCCTTGTGCTCTTGCCTGTGAATGAACCCAAAGTACAGGTTGGGGACCCGCACTGAAACTGATAGCTTCTTCTGAAGACGCCTCTGAGCCTCCTTGATACACCACAATCGGTGGTTACCCTCCACCACGTAGAGCTCACCATGGAACCGGACAGCCGTCAACTCCAGCTTTCTGAAGCTTTCCTGACCTGTGACCAACTGATCAACCAACTCCTGTAGTTTAGCACCTGGCTGCTTCCCATGTTCCAAGGTGTCCGAAATGAAAGCCTTGGCAAACCGAAGCTCCTCGCAATCCACTTCTTCGACCTCGCCTCTACCTGCAATTCCCCTCACAGCCTCAGCAGCTGCCGACCATGAACCCAGGTGCAAATCGGACAAGAGTTTTGTCCTGGTATCTAAGCACTGCTGGCACTTCATATGGCCTCTTAAACCTTGGATGGCTTCTTTCACCTTGGCTTCCTTATCTGCGTCAGTCATGGCTTCTGAAATGTTGCGCTGGAGCTTTCGCAAAAGCGCATGGTTTTTGCGAAGCTGGCGCTTCGGGCAACCCTGCCCGTGCTCCTTCCATTGCAGCAGCTCTTCCCGGAAGAGGACCCAGGGAAAGCTGGGACTCGGATCTTTCTTCTCCAATGAGACGCCCTGATCCACGTACTTCATATGCCAAGCCGCCAGCGCAAGTTGGGTCAGGGTAAAATTCTGCCGCTCGACTTCTTCTTGGACTCGCTTTTGGAGGTGCGTGAGCCATTCACCTAGGGATGCTTGAGCGGGAAGAACAAGCAGGGAATGAACAATTGTTTGCTAAATCATACGAGAACCATTTCAAAACAACTTCCTGTGCGTGTTGATATTGGGACCCTTTCGCCATTGTTCTTCTTACATTCTACCGTGCATCTTGGTGGCGTGCCCATTTCTTGGAGGGAATCCAACGGTAAATGACTTCAGACCATTTGGACCAGTTCACCTCGCAGCTCCTCATCCATGCAAGCGTTCGGGTTGCCTCCAGCCTCACGTTCTGCCCGGTTGCACCCATCCCTGATGTTCTGTGCCCAGTCTCCTCTTACCCTTGCGGCCAGCTTCTTCATCGCTTCACACTTTGGTGGCCCAAGCTCATCACAGAGTCCTGGTTAGCTTTTCAGCCCCCAGTACCAACAATACGATATCCAATTTTATGGCAGCCTAGTTCATCTACATTGGTGGCGGTTGCGCGCTGGGACCGGCAAAGACATCAACCATCATCTGAAGCAAAAGCAATGCTGGTCCTTTCCACGCCTTCATGAGATCCGCATCTGCTCCTCTCTCTCCTGGAGCCTTTGCCGCTTGAAACTCCTAGTGGCAGGGTTGGGCCATCCCATGTTGGTGAAATGACAACATGGTTGGTAGACAAAATCCGGTAGACCAATGAATCATGGGCTAGACATTGTACCAACTGTTGCAGGATTTTGCCCATCAACTGTATCACCCAACATCAATGCGAACCCATTGTCAATTGATTCCTAGTCCGTCAGAGTGTTAAGATTTTTTTATTAGGCAAGACAATAGACCCTCATTTGGTCCAGCAACAAATTAGCTGAAGCTCTCAACCGCTCGAAAAAATAAAATAGGAAAACAAAAAAAAACAGCTCCCCGCTGAAACTGACCAGCATAATTAGTTATTTCCGAGCCCCAACTCTCAGCCCTAGTGTGGTCGGGTTGGTTTTGAGCACCCTTGGTTTCCTTGGCTCAGGGCCTGAGGATTGGGTGTTCGCTTTTGGGGCAGCAGCGTCCAATTTCCCAACAAAATGTGTTCGAGAAAGATCTGTGGGTCACCAACCTTTGATATACCTCGTGCTGCGCCTTTAGATCTAGTACATCTAGCCGGTGACTTACATATTTTCCTCGAACACATTTTTTGACAACTTACCACACCTCTGGCTCAGAGTTTGGAAATTGGCGCTGCTGCCTCAAAAGCGCGAACACTCAATCTCAGGCCCCTCAGCAAGGGACCCCAAAAACAACCCGAAACCAAAACCAACCCGAGCACACTAGTGGAGGCACTGTGACACCAAACGAAGACCAAAAATGGCAGAGAAACACCTCCTTTCAACAAACAACCAAGGTAACCAGGGTCAAAACAAGCCCAACCACACCAGTGCATCAAAGGCAAGACCCGCAAGGGCTGAGAAACACCTTCTTTCAATAACCAAAATTAGAAAGCCGGTCAAGACTCTGGATTGACACCACGATTTCTTATTCCCCATCAAACGTTCAAGAAATCTTGCAGACCCTAGTCAAAACACCGTATCATTGGATTCGTGACCAGCCCCCAGTTTTGCCTCAAAGGCTTTGGCTGCTTGCCGGTAGCACTCCCCAGCAGAGGTCTGCGAGTGAACGGTCTGCGCCCCTTCCTTCTTGTTCATGAAATCCCATCTGGGGCCATTAGGATAAGGCCCAAGCTTGGGCAACGGCTTCCCCTTCTCCACATCCAAAGATTTGCAGTACGCTGCTGCTGTCTGTCTTCCTTCCAGTGAAGAGGCGGCCAAAGGCCCTTCTCCGGCCTTCATCTGCCACTGCCAGTGGTGTAGCCCGATCTCCTCCCTCGGAGGGTACTCTAACAGGAAGTGCGCATGTACATCGACCAAGCTGTTGATGACAACATCTGTCAATTGAGGATCTTTAAAGCGTGGAAGGGGACCTGGTGCAGTCTCACCTCGAAATGAACTCACCACCTCTTCCTGCGTGATGACCTGGAAATAATCACCTGGCGGCTTCAATCTATTCTCTGGGATGATGACCATCCTCCGCCATGAGTAGCTAACAGTATTAACCATGGCACATCTCAAAACGTTGCTAAAACGCCTATCAGCCACCATCAAAGTCCCAGGACAAGTTCACCTGTAGCGGCCGTCCCTTTTTGGAAAAGAAGAGTGCGCCAGGAGCACACTTGGCGCGCAAGGCCTCTGAATCCTTGGCCACGGCCAGTCTCAAGGAATTCGGATCTCGATCGGAGAGATAATTAATAATCACCTCACCAGTCAATGCCCTCCAACCACTCTCCTGCGGGTGGCCCCCTGCCGGTCATGCTGAAGCTTGCAAACGAAGATTGCCCTACCAATTATGTTGTTACAGGCGTGGGATATCCTTGAGATACCCTGATGTCTTCCAACAATAGGGGCCGAAATGGTTTTCGGACAGGAACCCTTAGAGTTGGACAGATTGTCAACAAAGCTGCTTTGATAACTCTAATCTAGGGTATTACCAGCGATCAGCAAACTATTGCTGCACGTTCATCCAGGGTTACGTCAAATCCATTATACTGTGCGTTCTTCGGGGTTACGTCGAATCCGTTTTATAGTTTAGGTGTGACAAGAATAAACCACCACAATTTCCCACCTACAAATGTTGGGTTCAGTATTGTCACACCCACATGTTTCACCAGTCATTGATTCAACTTGAAACATGTCGAAACATTCAAAACCAAAGGGCATCACATCTGGTCCACCAGAATGTTTCACTTGTGTTAGATTACGTGGTGAATGGCCGTTGAAAACGTTGCGATTTCAACTACGATCCCGCCACGGGGGGGGGGCATTGCGCACTAATACCACCATCACATACACTTCTGTCACCTTATCCTCCAACAATTTCGCATGCTAGTGACTGGTAGTGGAACATCCGTCAAAAAGGATGCTTATCACTTGATGCATCATGGTGTCCGTTTAGCTCTTATATTGCCACATTCAGTTCCGGAAGTGCAGTTCTATGGCCACATCAGCGCAAGTCCTCAGCATCGCAGGGCACCATCAAGAAAATCTCATTGTCCTTCAGCCAGGGTTGGGCCATCCCTCGGATTGAATCAAGCAATGATGATTAGATCCCACTATCATCTGTCAGTTCATCGCTTCAAACTTTGTCCAGGCTGCTGATTGGGTGCGGTCTGAGAACAAGCCCACGTCCTATTCTTGGTTCTGGTTCTCAACAAAATGATCTCAAACGTTGGTTGGACCTACTGATCTGTGTCACAAGGTCCAACCTTGCCTTCAACTCCAAAGAGCCGCCCTCTCCCTGGGGCTCGGGGTGGCCACGCGCTGACCAACAACCTCTCAGATGCACGTGCTTCATGGCCTTCTTCAAAGCCGCCTCCTTCTGACGCAAAATCACCTCCAACCTGGCAGTTTTTCAGGTTACCGCTGCTGGAGCTAAAAACCCCAGACAGGAAGAACGTGGCGGAACAGGCGGCAGACGTTCAATAATTGTAGTCATCATCATCATCATCATCATCATCATCATCATCATCATCATCATCATCATCATCATCATCATCATCATCATCCTCATGATCATCATCCGGGAATCAGCTGCGCACCCACTCAAACCCAGTTTCTGCACCCAATTTTCCAGTCACTTCCGCAATTTCCTCCCACAAAACGCGCGCCCGCTCAGCACTGCGGACGCCCGCGAGAGCCAGACCAGAGGAGGAGGGGTGGAGGGGGCGGTGGGGTGGGGCAATCGCGTTCCCTGCCCAAGCAGCTGCCCGCTAGCGCTGCACACACGCTAGACAAATGCTAAGCAAACCTGCTCAAGCGCACCCGCTCAGCAGGGCTCCCCGTAGTCAAGACACATTCGCACGGCGCCACAGCGAGAGCTCCAACACAATGACCATGAGACGGGGTGCAAAGGCGACAGAAAGCTCGGGTGCAAAACATCATCGTCGTCGTCGTCGTTGTTGTCATCATCATCATCATCATCATCAACATCATCATCATCATCATCATGTGTCACATCACCTTTGGACAAAGAACGGTTACCCTATGGGCTGTGAGTCAAGAGCCTGGTAATGCAGTGACCGTCAAGACAGAAACTGTCAAAACTAGTCGAGTCCAGGAAACAATGGGTGCTGGTGCGGGTCGAAGCCACACAGGAGCAATTCCAAGTGAGTCCCGATGTACGTCTTTTGGCTCCAGATTTCGGGCTCAGTCCTTCGCAGCCAGATATAGGGTGGCGGGGCACCATCTACCCAAAATGGTGCGTCGAGAAACCATAGGGAAATCCAAACACTTCAGATGTATTCAGGCGTGAAAGAGAAACGTGGAAACGCTGAAATCCAGTTAATTTCGGCCAAAAAACACCCCATGGTTGGAGGTACACTGCTACCCCCAAGGTTTAGACACCCCGCACATGGTCTTCTCATCATGCAGGTCGTAATAGAGCCCATCGAAGGCACCCGCCCTGAAGCCATCCATTCGGCTCACCCTCCGCAAGTACCTCGGATCGAGAGAGTTGGCGGATCTCCGGGTTGAAGACCCATGGGTTGGTTCATGGGGATATGTACAAGATAACCCGCTATTAAAAATACATGGTTTCCTGTAGGCTTTTTTTTCATATGTCCATCCGTTGAGAAGACCTGCGCAACATGTTCCGGGGGCGAAAGGATGGAACGCAAACTTGAAACCGCGCATAAATATACAAATATGCATCTATGAACCATCATTTTTGAATATCGTTTCAACTCGATGTTGAATAGCCTATTAAATACTGAACCCCCAGGTTCACATGACATCGCTTGATACGTTGACAATTGAATTTCAGCAAGTCCAAGATGCCTTTTATGCCCCTGCACCAGCGCCTTCATATCACACTGAGCAGCTTCCAAGCGGAGGATCACATCCAGCCCCAAGGAGGTGGGCCGAACTCGGCTGAAGCTCAGCACTGACAAGCATTCCTGTGAAAAATCTGTGGCCCCAAATTTCAGCATGGTCTCGGGCACCTCCACTTTTCTGGAGCCCTTGAGCCGTGGGCTGGCGATCAGCATGCCCTTCAGCCCAGAGCAACGGATCTGCGCGGAATCCCCAACCAGGCGGTTGAGGCCAAAGGTCTCGCAACCGCCGGCTGCGGCGGCCAACATCTCCAGGATTTCGGGGTCCGCTTCGCCCGCGCCGTCGTCGCGGATGAGCTGCTCGTCCACGAAATCCGGCACGACTTGGATCTGGAGGTGGACGGCCTCCAGGGTTTGCGGAGAAATAGCCAGAATATGTGATTGGTAGTTGAAAACGAGACGTATACAGTAGCCTAAACCACGTAGCAGTACAGAAATGTATATTGGAACATAACTACTTCAAAGGGATTCTAAGGAGCAAGAAGCTTCGTGTTGGTTCACGCACAATACTCCCAGAGCAAATAGAGTTTGCTTTACAACCAATTTGGACCGGGCCTCCATGTAGACAATCATGGATGAAAACAGTTGCTTTACTCGCGCTCTCAAGCGGAACGTGGGATTTGGGATCTGCGCTGTGGCTTTCTCCAACCTGGCAAGCAGGGCAAACGGGTTGATTCACAAGGGTTGCTTTCGGGTGATTAAACATGGCAGTGGGGAACTAAAATTTGCGGTAGGAAAATCGTCGGGAATCAATTCATGTCCCATTGCCAAAAACAATTCTTGGTTGGATGCCAACTGTTATTACACCGCCGTGCCAACAAACCGCTACGACATGTCTTAGTGGTCGAGTTCATCTGTCTTTCGAACATGATGCTAACTATTCGAAGTGTGAAATTGTATTTGTGTACACGATGCCAGGGAACGACTCTTATGATTGAACATAAAACCTGCCATCAATCAACATATAGTCGTTGCAATGTTCAAAACTGTCGTTGGAGCAGCTACCCAGCCGTAGAAGCAACCCTATTATATCGTATACTACTGCCTTATTGCGCCGATAAAACAGATACTCCGATATGTTGATAAATTCCATGTCAGATAGATGATACATGTGTTCGTTTTACATTAAGCCATATCACAGAACATTGCACGGCTATACATATTTTTATAATTTGGTTGTATGGCCATGATTGGCCATGGGTTAAAACTTTGGTGTTGGCCATCCATTTGCAGCCTCTGGAGGCTATGGTACCATTTTGGCCCCATGGCCATACATCATCCTTCATCACGCCCGTTGGCCAGTCCTGGCCTGAAGACCTTCCCGAAGCCCAGCGCAAGATCGATCTGCTCAGACCCGCCAAAGGGGGGGGCCGCCAGCCAGGCGCTCGGTCCGTGAGGATAGGCGTCGGCCTTGCCTACGTGGAAGGGGCAACAAGCGTCAAGCGGCCATGGGCCAAAACCCCGTGCCGCCAGTGAACATCCCAATCCCTGCTAAAATAATCGCACCTATCCCAAAACATTAGCAATGGTTGACCATTGGCCACAGGCTCAGATTTCCTTTGCTCCAGCTGGCTGGAGGTCCTGACTCTAGAGTCTCTAGAAAGGAGGTGGCTAAACAAATGCAGAATAACAAGTCGGAATGGTTCAGAACGGGTAAGTTAAGATGGCGAAAACATAGTCTGTGAACGGCTCGTAAAAGGGTCAAGAAAGGCGAAGAGATGACACAACATATATAACTGATTCCTACCCGAACCAACAAGAATAGAAAGCAAATAATATAGATTTACTTATTGCTGTTGGCCTCTGGTAACCTGGCGCGGCCCTTGGCAATTCCTATTTCCAAGTAAGCGCATGAAAGCATTGCTGGGATTTCCATTGCAATGCCCAAGTGTAACTAAATGGCGAAATACCAAGCCAGGATAAGTATGACGATGCAAACACTGTCAATACGCTTGGGACGAGTCATGTGGCATATCCAGTGTCATAAACCCACATTTGGTAAGCTTCGCATTGATTGTTCCAACAATAATCAGAGTCAAGTTTGTTGTTGGGCATGCCTCGCCATGATAGGGTCCTAGTGATTCGTGATGCGCCTTCAAGTGCATGCAACTATCATCAATACCACCGAAGTATATATTTCGCAATAGTTCACATGATTTCACATATATGTTTCTTGATTGTCAACACCTAATACCGCCTAATACTAAGCCTACAACAAAAACATGTCAAGCCAGTGTGTGAACTTGGGACCTACATTTACCCATCAAACATGCTGCCGTAGTTGGTTGAATCCCGCAGGGCCTGTAAGATCCGGATCGATTCAACAGGTAAAATCTGGATCCACTGAGCAACGCCTAGTGGAAGTGACGATATGGCCATGGGTTTAGTTATCATTAGATTTCCATTACAAAATTAATTTTTGGGACGCATAGCCATATTGCTGAGTTGACCAGTTAACGGGATAACCGTGGTTGGAATGGTGGTTACTGACTACCTATATCCGGAGGCCCCCATATTGGGAATCCTTGCATCAAGCCGTCAAAGTCCGCAGGAGAACCACTGGATGACCATTCATTTTGTCGGAACAGATGCAAAGGGTGACTGAACATGGCATTTGGAGTCCTTTTGAGCGGACTTTCCTTTGCCATGTTACGTACTAATGCAATACTCGACTCGACGATAACAACATATCCGCCCCACTGCCCCAGGTGCCTATCCCCGAAGGGAACTGGTACCCTGTGGTAGTAGAGGTCGTTGTGTTGGTCCCTGGATCTATTCCGGTATTCCGGAGAGAATCCAATATGCCAATGTGGATGATTGGAGGATGGATTGTCCCTGGTGGATTGTCTTGTGGATAATCCTGGAAGCGGCCTGCTAAGGTTCTTTTGCTTCACGCGATCATGAATGATGCAATGATACACAAAAGGGGCCTTGAGCCAAATGTTGCGGGAGATCAACTGGTCTGAGAACCAAACACAAAACAGACATAAATTTCTTTTGATCTCCAGCACTAAGTATGAAATACTATTGGCTTCATAGCCTTTGGCCGTAGCCTTGATGTATGCCGTAGCCATGCTGTATGCCGCAGCCATGTGTATTAAAAATGCCGGATTCATCCTCTTTTCTGCTCGGATGCAATGTCTTGGCTTTCGAAATGGAAAACACTATGTGCTGCTTCTTTCTGAGATACCTAGATGTATCAAAAGGTGATGTGCAACGCTATGTACACGCGGGACGATTGTGAAACTATTGATCTCTCACTCATGGTATAGTCTTGTAGACGGCGAGGCGTATGAATCTTCATGGTCAGTTGGATCGACGATACCATCGGCGGCTGCTCCGTCGGATTGACTGCCATAGTCTCCATAATCATTCCAGGTCGCGCTGCTATAGTCCTTCCACTGCTTCTGATGTCCCCACTGCTTAATGTAGTCCTTGTACTCCTGCGGGGTCCAGGCTTGTTTCTTCTTGATGTACTCCTGGTATCTCGCAGAGCTGCATTGCTTGGTTGCAGATTTTCTGCGGATGAGACCTGGTAATCGAATATGGCCTTGGTTGGATGGTTCCGCATGAATTCCAGTTGTTCATCATCCATGCCGTTCATCTCGTCCTTCCGGAAAGCCTGGATGTTCGTTTTGCCCCATCCAAATACGAAAGTCATCATCACATCTGGGAATGTTCGATCATATCCTGATCCACACTTCATGTACGATGACGGACAATGGATGTTAGGGTGCACGAAGTCTCCATTGCATACTCCATTCTGTCCACGAGTGGCAAATCTTTCGTTTCATTCCACAGGCTCTGATATGCTCTCATGAGGATGTTCACGAGACCGTTGGCCGGATTGAAGACGTGCTGGAGTTTGCTGTAGGTGTTCGCTGATTTGTTGGCGTCTCCGGTGATCGCATCACATCAGTACAAAGTCACGAGCGGCATGATTTCATTTTGAAGATCTTCCCTTGCTGCTCCATGGCTAATTGAAGGATGGATGTGGAAAACTCCAATGGTAGCGAATGGGAGATCTGCCCTCGTTATGTGGCGGTCGTCATACTCGTGGAGTGACTTGTTGGATGATTTCAGGATCATGCCACGAAACTCATCACTCTGCTCGATATGGCGGCCATGTCCTTGGACAATGGTGCGTGTTGGCAATCTCGGTCCAATGTACTTCTTGGATTCAGTAAACATGGATGGTCCTGTGGTTGCCAAGCAATCCGAGGTCGGAATTTCGTATTCGGGATCAGTGCAACTTCCTTCAGTTCCGAAGAAACATCTGAACATTCCGAATGTGGTTCCCCAATTCTGGCTCTTGGTGGAAATGTGTCTTGCCAGAAGTTCCACTCTTGCAGAAGGTCCGCCACGGACAAAGCATGCGATCGGTCTGGATGACCATTGCTTGATCACGATGCCCTTGTAACCGTATCGGATGAACGTCTTGATGAGCTCCCTGGATTTCTCATCATTAGGACTGAAGAATGCGTCTGCTTCATTCAGGCATAAGATGTGTGCACTGTTCTGCATCATCATCTTTACGATCGGTCGATCCTTCATCGGCATGTTGTACACCTCCCTGTTGTCCAGCTTTGGATTCCTTGTGAGGTTTCCATGGTTCAGGGTAAGCATGTTGATCGCTATGGATGAGGTGAACTCATGCATATTGAGATAGTCCACAGGAGGACGGTCGGTCGGCTGCGTCAGCGATCCCAGGATATCGGCATAGGCTCGGATGATTTCCGGGTCATCATGTGACCTGAGCTTCTTCAATCCAAGCGGAAGCTTAATCGGATATCCGGATCCTGGTTGAGCTTTCTTGTACTCGTCAATGAATGCCGTCTCTTCTTGGTCTCTGAGGAAGTATCTTTTTCCTTGCTGTGCTTGGTGGAATTCACATAATTGAAGAAGGCATCGGCAAATTCGCGGATCTTGGTGTCGTACATCTCGAATCTTCATAACTGAGATGCTTCTTCATGATCCACTTGTTGCTCGCCATGAGGCTGCCATCAGGTTCAAATGCTGCGACAATGTTCCTGGTTTTGTCTGTCAACGTTGTTCGCTCTTCGGAGAGTCGGATGCCATAGTCTTGGTCCTTGAGGAATGCAAGGATCAACAGTGCATCTCTTCCTGCTGGCACATGGGTCAATGCGGCTGACTCATCGTCGTCAAGGATGACGTCATCGATGCGTGCCATGTGGACGTGCATTCTCCCCGAAGGGTTTGACTGGGATTTCCCAGATTTGAGCCCGTGCTCGATGATGCTGAAGAGATGATTTCCATAGGTTGCATGGAACATGAATGTGATGGGCTTCTTCGCGAACGGCTTGATTTTTCTCTCTTCTTCAATGGTTGGTGGTGCCGGCCTTCGCATTCTGTGCTTGGGCTGAGCTGTGCCTTCATCTTCATGAGGCGCCTCGGATCTTGACGGATGCGGACTTGGCGGAATAGATTCCGGTGGTAGATCATAGTCCGGTTCGTCGTGTTGAGGCTCTTTCTGCTGCTCAGAGTACAGGGGTCGTCCAAAGGATTGGATCTCGACTTGTCCTGTGTGTCCGCTGTTGCATCTCACGTAGAACTCCATCTCTGGATCGACATAGAATTCCTTGCCATCGGGCCTGAGTGCATTTTGTGCGGATCTTGTGGTAAGCTTGTCGATCCATCGATTCCTTGGAACAATTTCTCCCCGTGCCTTGCGCTCCTTATATGGCCCGTCCACGGATGGAAATACGAATGCAATTTCGAAACGTGATTTTCCATAGCTCGGGAACATAGCCATCAAGAGAAGTCCTGGCTTATTTCCAATGAAGTTCCTGGCATGTGTGATGCAGGTCAATGCGTCATAGAGCTCGATGGATCCATCAGGACCCATGTCCACTGGTCGTTCGCATTCCTTATGGATTCCATGCCTTGGATCATGTCGAAGACATCCGGAAAATGATCTGCTCATTCTCTCAATTCGCCAGAGGATGAGATCTGTGATCTGTTTCGCCTTGGATGGATCCATGCGGAAGTATTTGCAAACCTGTTCGACATTCTGGACGGTCTTCTCGAGATCAATGTTGCCTTTGTGGCATACCATCGGGATGATGTCGGTTCCGTAAACTTCGGATTGAGCATTGGTGTAGCAGCAGATGCTGTAGACCTTCTTGATGAAGTCCATGTATTGCTTCTCCGCATGATGTCCTTCACCTTGGAGTGTTGGCTGCCAGTAATCGTTGAATCTGGCCTTCAACCAGAATACCTTAACTCCATGCGGTCTCTCATGCTCAGGAACGAAGTGGAAATCCGGATTGACATCGAGGATGGTTGAGCATTCCCTGTAGTACTCGTACACAAAATTCAGGAATTTTGAGTTTCCGAAAGGTGCGGGGTGTACGGATTCCTTCTGGAGGCTGATGTTTGTATCCGATCCATATGT